ACGATACATATATCGTCACAAACAGAACTGCCCAGTAAACCGTAGGCAGAGAGAGAGAAGAGGACAACAAACGAGGGGCTGTGACAAACTGTTTCGTCGGAGTTTCACCGACTCATCAGGAGTATATATATATATATATATATATTGTCACAGAACTATTGACTAAGAGCGTAAGCACGTGAAGTAGAAGAAGAAATAAGATGAGCGAAGAAAAGAAAAATGAAAGTACAGACAGGCAAAGAGACAGACAAACCAGATATGACACAAAACAGTGTCCTCTTATTCTTTGTTTCACTGTATTCTTATTTCTTTCAGTGTTTTATTAAAAAAAAAAACACTGAACAAGGGATAAAAATAAAAAACAAAGACACATTGAAATCATTCAGCTTCTCAGTCTTCTTAACGCCTCCTCCACCGTGGCTCTAACGTACAAGGCTCGCCACGTTTATATGCAGTCAAACAGATCCCTCTCTGCCTACGGTTTACCGGGCAGCGCCCTGTTTGACGATATATATAATTGGATTATCTGTGGGATGTGTCATTTGCTGTGTTTGACTGATAGGCTTTCTTTCCCTGTCAGGTTTGGTTTCCTCCTCCTTTTCTTTAGCTCTTTGCGTTTTGGCTGCGTGCAAGTGGGTCCTTGTGACACACGGAGATGGATGGGGGCAGCCAGCGCTCAACCTGTCATCCACGAGGCTGGCCTTGTACGTAAGAGGTGATGAACAGGGGGAGCTTTCCTTCCTTCTTTTCCTTTTCTTGTTTTGTCTTTTTCCGCCTTTGCGCTCCAATTTACAGTCTGACAATATATATAAGTATGAAATTCCAATCCGAACAAAAACTATGTTATGCAGCAAAATAAACTGAACAAGGCTGGCCTTGTACGTAAGAGGTGATGAACAGGGGGAGCTTTCCTTCCGTACTTCTTTTCCTTTTCTTGTTTTGTCTTTTTCCGCATTTGCGCTCCAATTTACAGTCTGACAATATATATAAGTATGAAATTCCAGTCCGAACAAAAACTATGTTATGCAGCAAAATAAACTGAACAACTTTTGCGTCAGTGTCACATTGAAATTCTTTGCCAAAAAAAATAAAAAAATAAAAATTAAACCAATGTTTTCATTTTTATTTTTATTTTTATTCTCTTTTGGCCGGGGCCAAGGCCCACATGCACCGTTGAACTAGCTCAACGCAACGGTGTGACACGGTTTTTGCGACTTAAAACTCAAAACAAAGGCAAAAAAGGAGAAGAATCAAATGCTGCTGAAAGCTTTTTTTCCCCTATTTCACAAAAAAAATGAATAACCCAATGCTACTGAAATCTTTGTCCGTACTTTTCTAAAAAGTAAAATGGAAAAAATACAACAATCCTCAGTGAAAGGCTCCACATACTACCCAACGTCGGAGACAGGGACTCACTAGAACATGGAATGAACGTAGTCCGTACTCCTGGCTTGGTGCATTCGCAGAAACGAGTTTGGGCCTGCACAGCCAAAAACACAGCATGAACACTCTCTGTCAGAGTGTCCTCCCACGGAAGGTCATGATGGTACAAGCACCGTTGAACCCATACCCCACTCCAAGTGGGGTATGTAGTTCAACGGAAGATGGGCAGGGTAGGGGGCGTTCTATATGCGCGGAGGGATTTTTCAGTACCTTTCTTGAACCAAAAAAAAAAAAAAAAAAAAAAAAAAAAAACGAAAGTCTTTTTATTTTATATATACACCTAAGAACAACCGCTGGATGTGCAGCGCCTGATGCATCTCAGACGTCGCGTGGGGTCACACTCGTTGAGCTACCTTCTTCCCCCGAATACAACGTACGGTCATTCTAGCTGTATTTGAGGCATCTTTCAGTCTAGATACAGCTATAATGACCGTACGTGGTATTCGGGGGAAGAAGGTAGTTCAATGTTGAACTGGCTCTCAGCGATGTATGTGGGACTTGGTCCCTTGGGCCCGGCCCCCGGGCCGGGCAAGTGGTCCTGGCCCACTCAGGTAACACAGCCTACCACGAGGTTCGCGCATTTTGGACACATTTTGGACATTTTAGGGCAGTCTGATGACTTTTTGGGGGGGGATGATTTTCTGCATATTATTTGTATTTTTTTTTGGCAGTTTGCAGCTTTGCAGGCCTTGCAGCATACTCTTCTGACTCACCTACTCCTCCCCGTTGTTTTTGTCGGCTCAATAATAATAATAATGATAATAAATAGGCCTTCCGCGAGGTTCACGGATAAGGATGGAGGCAAGCAGCGGTTCCTCTTGGAATTAGAGTTCGTGCAGTGTTTGGCCAATCCTGCCTACATCAACTGTAATAACAATCGTTTCCCTATATCACCAAATCCTCTCCCC